CACCGGCTGCAGGCTGACCCGACCCGCACCCCCTGGGCGGCCCGCAGTCTCCTTCTGTTACTTTCCATGGGGACGCAGGCGATTCCGTCAGAACATCTTCCCTGCCAGCTCCCAGCCACTGTCAGTTTTAAAGACCACAGCAGAGCTGGTGGGTCGTTCCTCTTTTCCTGTGCTGACTTTTCCAGACACCAAGAGTCACAGGAACATGGGACCAAGGGGGAAAAAAGGAGGCGTCCATTCGCTGGAGCTCCTGGAGGGCTCCTGTCAGGGGAACCCCAGGGTCCCAGTGCTGAGTGCCAGCCTGCCCAGCCTCTCAGAGGCAGCCTGGTACCAGGCAGCGAATGGGTGGCTGGCTGGCATCCAGGGTGCCCATCCATTTGTGGGCACCACCCAGCACACAGGCACGTGCACGCACATACACGTGCACACGCACACATACAACACACACACACATGCATACTCGCGCGCACACCCGAATACATGCACACGCGCTGCAGACTGTGGGCAAGCCCTGCCCTGGGCTCCATGCCCAGCGGGCACCTGTAGCCCTCCCCATGCCCGTGGCACCCCACGCTGCCCTGAAACAGCTGTCCAGCATGGGGGAAGGCGGGGAGCTGCTCCTCATCACCGGCCCCACCCATCCTGCAGGTTCTTGGGGACAACCCTGTCCCCAAAGCCTCCTGGACGCCACCAGCCCATCTCCTTCTGCCTGCAGGGCCTGACTCCTCTACCTTGGCGAGCTCACCTACCTGGCCAGGCCCTGCCAGTGTCACCTGCCAGTGTGCCATCAGCTGCTCCAGAGGGTCACTTCAAATCTGCAGGAGTCCTGCGGCCCCCAAAGACCCCTGTGCCCCCAGCCGGGTCCCTGTGGCCCTGGGCCATCTCCCACCAGCTGCCTCCATGCAGATGCCCTCCTGGGCTTCCAGGAAAAGGGGGCGGGTTTTCTGCATGAACACTGACTACTGATTGGCCTGGACTTTGAGTTGGGGCGGCAATGTCCGAACTCCCAGAGGCCACCCCACCCCTCAGGAGGACCCTGCAGCACGGTGAAGAGCAGCAGTCCAGCACAGACATCTGGAGGTGGGGTTCAGGAGGGGTTTTATTTCCTTTTGCCCATTTTCTTTAGTACATTTGCCTCACTTTTATCATCAGAAAAGGCCACGGACGAAGGTGTATAAGCAGATATATACCAGGTGACTACCCACCTGTAAAACTGTTTAAGCAGAAAAGCTGTGCAGAGACACGAAAGTGTTAGCTCTGATTACCTCTGGGTGGTGAAACGAGATGATGTTTTCCTATATTTGTAAGTTTTTATGATGAGCACGCACCTGTTTTGCAAGACGAAAAACAGTTTTCTGCAGACCTCATCGCTGAGCCCTTGTGAGTCCAGAGGCACCGCCGCCGGGCCCACCTGGGGCTCCTACCGGCCCCGACAGGAGCACCCTTCCACCTGGCGGCCCCAGCCCTGCCCTGGAGATGCTCAGCCGGGTCTGGGCGCTGGGGTTGCCACGGGCGGCCGCCCACCTCCTTACTGTGGAGCAGTCGCACCAGTTGGTCACACACCATGCGGGACTCGCTGGGTTCAGCAAACTAGGCCTCAAGGTCCCTGTGCAGCAAGGCTTCTTTTGTCCCCATTTACAGCGGTGTGTCAGCTCCCGCCTGCTGTGTAACGCCCTCCCAGCCACACCCACCCTCTTGGATCCGTGCACGCCCCACTGGGCCTCTGCCATTTTTCTAGTTCTTCTCCCAAACCTGCAGGGACATCTCTGCAGACCTTGAGAGGCCACATGAGCGGGTAACAGCTTTGCACACAGACCTGAACCCCGTTTGTTTTACTGGACGTCACAGCACCAAACCCCGGAGCACTGGGGACATGCCCAGGGCACAACGTGGATGGAGTCAGAAGCAGGTAAAATTACCATACAGCTACTTCGTAAACCCCCATAAAGTAGGTGGGGAAAGCGAAGAAAATATTGGAAGGACTCCTAGAATATTCACAGAGTAGTATGACTTCTGAAATTTCTCAAAAGTGTCCTCATGATGGTTATACAACATTTGTATGTTTTTAAACTAAACCATTTAGGCTGATATTAGACAAGTGTCAATAACTCCAGCTCCAGGAAAAGTCTGGAACCTTCTCTGGGACAGGGGTGGGTCTGGCCACATCTGAAACCCACCCACGCAGAGCCTCAAAGATATACAGGGGGTGCCAAAAAAAAAGTATGCATGTTTTGAGAAAGGAAAAAACTATTAAAATTGTAATACTCAATATATACCGATAACAAAAGATGAATACAAGTCACGTCTAACTTCTGCAATTACAAGAGGTGTTCAAAGTGGTTCCCATCAGCGTAAATTTTAATACAGTTTTTTCCTTTCTTAAAATGTGTGTACATTTTTTGGCACCCTCTGTATATGTATAAATTTGTTGACTTTATTTTCCCAGAGTAAACAATGAAACATCTTTTCCAAATATGTATTTGCCTAAACTGTGAAAAAATATACATATGAAAAATAACTCAGAAATCCGACAAAGCAGTGGATTTGAAACATTTAACCCAACAGCATCGTCATTTGTAGAAAGTGGTGATTGTGGGGACCCGTGAACACGCAGACCAATCCCACACGAAGATGCGTATTGGAACCAGCCGAAAACATTCAAGGAGATTCATTTGGGGTTACAGCTCTTTTGCAGACATCTTAAACTCGACTGCACTTTTGTTCTACTGGGCATGAACAAGAGTCCCCACGGACAGTAAATAAATCCTTTAGCTGGGAAGTGCTGGGCTCAAAGCTGCTCTAGACACCAGAGACTCTTTCTTTCAGTGACTCAGTCCGGAGCGGAGGCGACCCCAGCCTCCCAGGCTCCCCGACTCCCAGCCCCTCCTCGCTCCGCCCCTCCCTGGCTCCCTCCGTCAGCCCCTCCCTCCTTCCCTCCCACCCTTGCTCCGAGGTTGTACCTCCGGCTGGCCGGCAGAGCAGACGTGTCTCTCTCTCTCTCTCTCTCTGGTCATTGTCAGTCCACCCTGACCCCTGCCCTCGCTCCATGGTGACACGCAGGCCGGTGACATGAGGTTGGCCCATGCTCTGCTCCCCCTGCTGCTGCAGGGCTGCTGGACCGCTGCGCAGGACCTCCCGCTAGCTGAGAGGGCCATCGCCTTCCAAGGTGAGGGGACCTGCCGCCTACATCTCCGACTGCCTTTTGCTGCGGGGGGCGGGGGGGGCGCGACAGGGCTGGGGATGCACCCAGCTGTGATGTCCCAGCAGACCTGGCCCCTTCCCTTGACGTGTGGGGTTGCTTGAAATTCTCCAGCTTGCTGTCCAGGCTCCCCCGGCTAGGCCCCTGGGCTCTGGCATCTCAGGCGAGTCGGGATGGGCCCTGGTGAGGAGAGTGAACTTCCCTCGGGTCTCAGGGCCTCAGCCCCAGTGGCCCAGCGCTGTCCCTTCTCTACCTTGGCTAATTCCATTTGACTGTTTGCCTGGCAGTCAGTCAAGGAACATGGTTACCTGCTCTCACACACCTTTTTCTGATGCTTTATGCGCCCTGGTAGTGTTTAATTCAACTTAGAACCATAGTGAGAAAGCAGTCTTAGTTGTCCAGACCAGGGCGGGGCTCCCTGGCTTCCAGGAGGGCTCGGGGAACTCTCAGGACCCACGCGGGGCTCTCATGGCCACCGCACCCCATCGCTGGGTGCCAGCTTTTCTGGACGAGGGCCACTCGGTGCAGCCGGGTGGCTCGGCCAGCTCACCTGCCCAGGGAGGTGGCTGGTGGGAGCGGAGGGCACAGGGTGTCAGCAGCTGGTCTCCTCTCATCCTTGGCCCAGACTGCCCGGTGGACCTCTTCTTCGTGCTGGACACGTCCGAGAGCGTGGCCTTGAGGCTGAAACCCTATGGCGCCCTGGTGGATAAGGTCAAGTCCTTCACGAAGCGCTTCATCGACAACCTGAAGGACAGGTAGACATCCCCTGACCTCTCCCCTGCATGTCCCCAGGCCTCTCAGAGAAACTGCACCACCGGCCGTCCCGGTGCCGCTGCTGCCACGGCCCAGGGGCAAAGCCTGGCCTCAAGTTGCCCGTCTGAGAAGGGAAGCGTTGTCCTGGCCACTCGGGTCCCCTCTGCTCATCCACAGCCGTTCAGATGGGCCAGAGAGGAGCTTGAGATGGAGCAGGCCGGGGCGAGGGAAGCTAAAGGCACGGGCCGCGGGGAGGCTGAAGGGACGGTGCTGTGATGTGGGTGCTCCGTACCCCAAATGCAGATGAAGAACTGCACCTCCAAGCCCAAACTGAACATTTTTAAGGGGTGCCCTGAGGCCCTGTCCAGTGCCTGGAGAGGGCACCCCTCACCAACCACCTGGACACTAACCGCTGCCCAGGTGGACTGTCAGAGCCTGCATCTGGACCCAATGTCCCAGTGTACCAGTCAGAGGGGCCTGGAGGGCTCACCAGCCTGGTTCGGGGTTTGGGCAAGGCACACTTCATTCATTCACTCACTCATTCATCTGTCTGAGGACTGCAGCACTGGGAGAGTGGGGTGGAGAGCGGGGGTGTGGCCAAGGGCTGGACACGCCCACAGTTGAAGGGCAGGGCCATGGGTTGGGGTGAGCACAGGTCAGAACACAACTCCCTCCCTCGCTTGTGCAGGGCCCCATCTCTAGTCCCACCCTGTCCCTGCTGACCCACTGACCCCCTGACCGGAGCCCTGACCTCCCCCTCCAAATGGGGCCGCAGGGACAGGGTGCGCAGCTGCCCAATGCAGAGTGCTGTAGGACCCAAAACCCCAACCTCACCTGAAATGCCCAGGTCCATGGGGCCGTGGGACCCCAGGGGCTGCGGAGACGGTGCCGTGTGGGCCAGCACCCCCTCCGTGGGCCTTTGGCCCTTCACTCAGCCTCCCTGTGCCTCAGTTTCCCCACCTGTGAACTGGGGTAGGCTCCTCTTGTGATTGCTACTGTTAGCATTGCCAGTGGGGCCTCTGTCCCGCCATCAGCTGAGTGGGCCACCAGGCAGGCCACGTCCAGGCCCTGGCAGAGCAAACCCGGAGACGGGCAGAGAGAGGCAGCCAATCAGGTTCCCGCTCGGCACTGGCCTTACCCCCATCGCCCCGCCCACCGCCCCGCCCACCGCCGTCCACGAGGGTCTGGGGCCCTCTGCCACCCTGCCCCTGCCCGTTGCCACGCCCGCTTTACTGGCGCAGAGTCGAGGCAATCACCGGCTGGCTGGAGCCCGGCCCACGCGTGGTCGGCACAGGAAGTCCAGCCAGCGGCTTCCCCCTGGGTCGTGGGACGGGGCGGCCGTCCGTCCTCCCGCGGAGGCGGCCAGCGTGCGCTGGGTGGGTGGGTAGGGAGCGGGCGGGCGTCCCGGGGCGCTCACCGGCCGCGCCCGCAGGTACTACCGCTGTGACCGCAACCTGGTGTGGAACGCGGGCGCGCTGCACTACAGCGACGAGGTGGAGATCATCCGCGGGCTCACGCGCATGCCTGGCGGCCGCGACGCGCTCAAGACCAGCGTGGACGCGGTCAAGTACTTCGGCAAGGGCACCTACACGGACTGCGCCATCAAGAAGGGCTTGGAGGAGCTGCTCGTGGGGTGAGGCCCAGCGCGTGCACGCGTGGCCCCGTCCGTGGGCCAGGGAGCAGCCCAGGCCCGCGTCCCCGGGTGGCGCTCCACCTCCCCGACCTGTGCATGGTCATCCGAGCTCGCCAGACCCCGGGGGCTGCCCACGGGCAAACCAAGCTCTGGTGCCCGTGAGCCCGCAGGACCAGCCCTAGTGCCACTGCCTGGCCTGACTTTATGGCTGCCAAGAGTCCCTCCCCGAATTGGCCACTGTCTCCTCATCCAGCGAAAGTCAAAGGGACCTGAAGTGCCCAATCACTGCCTCCCTTTTGGCCAGGCAGAGGTGACGTTTGCAGTCAGGGACAGAGACAGACAGCGGGACGCAAAGGGAAGGGACCCCTATGAGAGCATCGGTGGCCCCAGTGCTGGCTCTGCACGTCACGTGGGGTCTTGGTAGCGGCGAGCAGCCAGCAGCTGCCATCCTTAACCCTCAGAGATGGTTGGCTCCTGGCGGTGGTTTAGCCAGGCCCCAGCCCCAGAACCCCCACCCACAGGTGGGCACATCTTCGGCCGTCCCATCTGCTGCCTGTGATGGGAGTCCCATGTCAGGACGCCTCGGGGTGGGTGAGGACCCGTGCCTCTCCCCTGGCTGTGTGTGCATTTTCCAAAATGGCCTTTTACAGAAATGTGACCCCACAAAACTCTTTTCCGTTTGATGTCTGTTTTTATGACCCCACTTTATAGCAAGACCAACAAAGAGAAACACTGTCCAGTGTAACAGGACCGCCTTGCAGAGCAGTGCTTGGGTCTGGGTCCTCCTCCGGGGGTCTGGCCCCCGCCCGTCACCTCCCATCTCCAGGTCTCGGCTCTCGGGTTCCAAAGGGTCAGAGATGACCCGAGGGAGCCAGGCCGGGCCTCACCGCTGCCCACCGCCTCGCAGGGGCTCACACCTGAAGGAGAACAAGTACCTGATTGTGGTGACCGACGGGCACCCCCTGGAGGGCTACAAGGAGCCGTGCGGGGGCCTGGAGGACGCCGTGAGCGAGGCCAAGCACCTGGGCATCAAGGTCTTCTCGGTGGCCATCACGCCTGACCACCTGGTAGGAGCCCTGGCCTGGAACTGTGGGCACAGAGGAGCCGGCTGGCATTGTCCTCAGGGTCACCCTTGTTCCTGCCATGTCCTCCCAGGAGCCACGACTGAGCATCATCGCCACGGACCACACCTACCGGCGCAACTTCACGGCGGCCGACTGGGGGCAGAGCCAAGACGCGGAGCAGGTCATCAGCCAGACCATCGACACCATCACCGACATGATTGTGAGCGGCCACTGCACCCTCACCCTCCCACACGTGGTGCCGGCAAACCCTGCAGCTGTGAATATAAATTAACTTGATTTTTCCATTTCATTTTCAGAAAAATAATGTGGAGCAAGTGGTAAGATACCCTCCCCAGCCCTCCCCACCCCCACTGCCCAGGGGGTCACCACCGGCCCTTCCCTCCCCTCGCCCCTTCCCTGGGCACCTGAGCCACGCCCTCTGAGCACCTGTGGGCCTGTGGAGCGCCGTGGCTGTGCCTTGGCTTTCTGACGTGTCACTCTGTCCCTTCTCCGGCAGTGCTGCACCTTCGAGTGCCAGGTGAGTGTAGCCCCCCGCCCCCCTCCGGGGCCTCTCTGCACGCTGTCTCGGGCTGACTGTTGTATCTGTCTCGCAGCCCGCCAGAGGACCTCCCGGACCAAGGGGCGACCCCGGGTACGAGGTGAGTGGCTGTACCCCAGCCCTGTTTATGTCCAGGAGAGAGAGGGGTGTCAAGTAAGCATGGGAGAAACGCCCCAGGTGTTAGGGACACAGCAGGGCCCCAGGCAGCCGTCCTGAGCACCCACCACACGGCCGGGTGTGGGGACAGTGAAGACATGTCTTTGATGAGCAGGCGCCCCTCCCGCCAGCCGTGGGGGAGTCCAGCACAGTGACCTTGAGGCCAGTGGGGTGGCCAAGGGCTGGCGTTCGGAGCGGGGCCGGTCCCACAGCATCCTTGCCCCCTCCCTGTGGTGGAGGAAGAGGCCCTTACAGAATGCGTCCCCTGAGTGCTTGGCCCCTGGAGGTGGACCTTCCCGGGGGATGGGCACACCTTGGAACCCAGGCCAGGGTGGCCCAAACGGAGAATTCGAAGATCAAGACTCGTTGCCAGTATTTACAGCGTGGGACATTGCTCGTGAAAGTCCAGATTTGTGGCTTCTCCTAAAACTGTGGGCTCCAGTGGCCAAGGAGCCTATGGCCACTGACCATGGGAGCGGAGCAGCCTCTGTCCGGGAGGTCTTGTGCCCACACAGCAGCAGGAATGGGGCACAGGATAGGATGGCAGAAAAGAAAGATTCGGGGGCCTCGGTCGTTCCAGTGGGGCGGCGGCATGGCCCGGTGGGGTGTGAGGGAGGGGACACGTGGACCTGACCTTGCAGACACCAAGACGGGCCACGGGTGACGGGGAAGGTACCTGAAAACCACATGAGCAGCTTTTCAGAAATACGCAAGAGATTGTCCCCTAACCTTGACCTGCTTTGTGTTCCAGGGAGAGCGAGGGAAGCCGGGCCTCCCAGGAGAGAAAGGAGAAGCCGGAGACCCTGTGAGTGCTGCGCTCCCGGCCCTGAGGGTGGGGACAGGCTGGGGAACCTTCCAGAAGGATGGCCAGTTTCTGAGCATCGTGGTCGCAGTCCTCAGAGGACACGGTCCCATGGGCAGCGAGGGCCAGCGGGTGCACTCCGCAGCCGTTCCTTCCAGCACACCACACCACGATGCCCCCACAGTCCCTCTCCCCACAGGCCCAGCTGCTCTCAGCGGGCAGATGGGGGACCGGCCGGCAAGTCCCAGGACCTCTGCCTCGGCCGTGGCCAGTCCCCCCACAACCCATCCCCAGCTTTCCCTGGGGACCCTTAGCCTCGGGAGCCCCCCAGGAGTGGGGATGGAGTCTTTACAGCAAGACGTCTCCCTGGAGTGCCAGCCAGCAGTGTGGCCGGGTCCGGTCTCTCTGGCTGGCCAGGCCCGAGTGGAGTGGGGGGGCCAGGCAGGCTGAGTGGGGGTGCCCCTGCCTCCCATGGCATCTGATGCCTCTCTTCCTTTGTGTTCCAGGGAAGGCCCGGGGACCTGGGACCTGTCGGCTACCAAGGGATGAAGGTGCGTCTGCCCGCCTCCTCCACAGTGGTCTTTCCTGGGGCTGAGCCAGGGGACATCACAGCTGCCCCCGAGCATGGGGCCCTGGGCCATTAACAGCCCCCCTTTCCTCCTGTTTGCGGTGTAGGGAGAAAAAGGGAGCCGAGGGGAGAAGGTGAGTGAGGGGCAACTTCGGAGCGTGTCCCTCTGGGTGCAGAGCAGCCCCCTCACCTGGACAGGGACGACGTTGCATGTCCCCAGCGTGGCAGGGCCTCAGCGAGCTGGTAGGGGGTTGGCTGGCACGCCTGTCCCAAGGGGCCTGGAAGGCCAAGCCCTCCTTGCGGTCCTCCTCCGCCTCCCTGGGGGGACGTGGCCAATTTCCAGGGAATTCCCTCTGCGGTGGCCCCCCCTCCTCACCCTCCCTCTCGTCTCTGCAGGGCTCCAGGGGCTCCAAGGGCTACAAGGTGAGTGTGGCGGTGGGGACCTGGGTTCTGCCCACGGGTGGGTGCTGTCTGAGCCTCGTCTGAGCCTTCGGTCTTTGCCCCTCACAGGGAGAAAAGGGCAAGCGTGGCATTGACGGCGTCGATGGCATGAAGGTAACCCAGGCTGGTGCGGGGGCTGAGGGCAGGGCCAGGCACTTCCCCAGACATGGGAATAGGGGCCGCACCTGGGCACTGCCGGGCACTCAGAGGTGGTGGGAAAAGCAGGAGGCATCTCCTGACAAGCTGAGGTCCCAGGGAACCCAAGCCGCCCGGCCAAGCTTGGTGCATCTTCTGCGATGGGGCTGAATGGGTGAGGCAGAGCCTAAAGGCTTCACCACTAAACCTGCCTTCGTCCTTCCAGGGGGAAACGGGGTTCCCCGGCCTGCCAGGCTGCAAGGGCTCGCCTGGATTCGACGTAAGTCGCTTTCTGTCACAGATACGTTATGACTAAGTCCTCGGGTATGAACATGGGCTGAGACCCTTCTTGGGGCTCTCTGCGAAGTCACGGGCGGCTGTGCCATGTGCAGACCTGCCTTGTAAGCACTTGACTTACGTCGGGGCGTGGCCTGCTGGCTGCTTGGCTAAGACCATGGACTGACCTTCGCCGTCTTCTCACCAGGGCATCCAAGGCCCCCCTGGGCCCAAGGGCGACATGGGCGCGTTCGGACTGAAGGGAGAGAAGGTTAGTGATGGAGCCCCGGGGACTGGGGCAGGCGCTTTCTCACCTTCTGAGTGTGGATCAGAAGTCTTCCTGGGAGTGATTCTCCAC